GGTTATACTTACTATTTTAAAAACATTATTCTAGAGGACTCTCTAGTTCCAACAATGGGCATTCTGAGATTTTGAGAAGTAAGGTTAGGTTAGATTAGATTAATACCTTTATAAATTATTCCATAAGGAGATTAGTAAATGCTCCTAATTTTTAAAGATTTGAATTCTATCTAGCTTCGTATTTGTAAAAATGTTGAACTTGGCCAGGCACTCGGAGGCAGAGGCAGGCAGATCTCTGTAAGTTCAAGTCCAGCCTGGTCTACATAGTAAGTTCCAGGACAGCTGGGGCTACAGGGAGGCCCTGTCTCAAAAAGACCAAAAAAAAAAAAAAAAAAAATTGAACTTAAGTTCTTTCCTTAGAAAACCTACACTCTTACATATCCAAACTCTTCAACTTCACCAAATTGAGTTTAGCTTATCTTAACTAAAGGATATATTTATAGACCGAGTGTTATCAGAATCCAATTAGCTGTCAGAAATTTCCCAAGAATTTGAAAAAGGCAAAGGTAGAATCAAGAGTCTTTAATATGTGATCAGAGTGATGGAGAGGATTGACTAAGGAACAGAGAGGAATCTAAATAACATAGTGATGAGACTGAGTATGTGGCTCAGTTGATAGAGTGCTTGCCTAGAATGCATAAAGCCCTAGCACCACATAAAAACTGACTGGGCCTGGTGTCCATATGCCTGTAATCACAGTACACAGGAAATCAGAAGTTAAAGGTTATCAACTTGGAGGCCAGCCTAAGTTACATGAGACTGCCTTAAAAAATGAAATAGTAGAGGGAAGGGCCACTCCCTCTCAGCTAGGCAGAGCATGAAGGAACATATCTGACACCCAAACATCATTAAAGGAGCATGGCTCAGGTCCGCCGGATAGCAGTTTACCAAGGTGCTATGATAGACTGGAAAGCTGGTGCTTTCGTGCTGAGGGAAATGGTTCTATACCTTGGGAACTCCAAAATAGCTGGGATTGTAGCAATTGAGCAGTGCCAAGTGCTGGTGCCTTCTATGACAGCTTGCCATGCCCCTGCTATGGATATTCCAGTCTTGCTGACAGGAATATAGTCAGTTGACTACCATGCTAGTGTACTCTAGAGAGTTGACCTTTTCAAAGGAAAAGTCACACCTACGTTAGGGTGCAGTCATGTCAGAGGTGCAGTTCTAATTTAGCACAATCATATTTTCATTCTCTGGCATATGTTCCTATCTGAAAAATGTCCCATTGAAATTTCCTTGAAATACAGATTTGTTGTAGAGAAAGGTAGTCTCTTTGTGATCTTTTCAGCAAACATGACATATACTTGGCATTCACTGAGCATCTGTTTTCTAAATCTGTCGACTGTGCAAAAGCCATTTTCAAATGACCAAAAAGTAAATGTTAATTGCACCTGAGGAAAGCTAGATGTGCAAATCCATAGTGAATGTTAGGTCTATTTAATAAAGTGCGCCTGAGTGGTTTGATGTCAGACTGTTCTTAAGTGCCTGTTGGGGGCAGGATGCTATCACTTTTTTATGCTCTCTTTTACTTTCCACAGTAGGTGATGAATAGGTGGGTGGTGCTATGATCATAATATGAGCAAACAGGACCTAAGGTGCCGAAACAACCTTTCCTATCAGTGTCATACACAGGACTTTAAATCTAGTCCAGTATATATTTGTCAGCTCTCGTGTTGGTGGCATACATTGAAATGTAAAAGGTTCATCGAGTGCTAAAAACAAGACTAGATACTACTGTAAAGAACTAAAGAAGTTAATTAGATATGCCCTTGCTGTAAAGGGTTAGAATCAAACAGAGCTGGAGGCTGGAGACTTATATCACTGGTAGAGCACTTACTTGCTTAGCAAGCACAAGGCCCAGAATTTAGCCCCTACCACCAGAAGGGGAAAAAAGAATCTAGCAGAGCTGGATGTGATAAAGTCTCTGATTGAGAAGCCAGTTAAAGTTTGGTTTCATATGGTTTAGAATGCTTTTTTTCTTGGAAAACTAGGGCATTGTGGTGGCATTTGAAATAATTTTTTTGAC